CGAACGAATAAACGCACGAACGAATTAACGAACTCATGAACGAACGCACGAACGAATTAACGAACTCACGAATGAACGCACGAACGAATTAACGAACGCACGAACAGACGCTCGAACGAACGCACGAACGAACGAATGAACGAATGAACGAATGAACGATCAGAGGAACGAACGAAAGTAGAACGAACGCACGAACGATTGAACGAACAATAGTATGAACGCACGAACGATTGAACGAACAATAGTATGAACGCACGAACGAATGCACGAATGATCTCACGATCGCACGAACGGACTCACGAACGTACAAACGAACGAACGCACGAACGAACGCATGAACGAACGCACGAACGTACGATTTCACCATCGCACGAATGAATGGACGAACGTACTAACGGTAGCAGAACGAGCGCACGAACTAACGCACGAACGAACGCACGAACCAAAACACGAACGCACGAACGAACGTACGAACGCACGCACGAACGCACAAACGAATGCATGAACTTAACGCTCGAACGAACCCACTGTCGAACCCACGAACGCACAAACGAACGAGAGCACGAACGAACGCATGAACGAACACACGCGCGAACGCAACAAATGAACTCGCGGATGAACGCACGAACAAACGCACGAGCGAACGCACAAACGTTGGCACGAACGAGAGCAAGAACAACAAACGATGGAACGAACAAAAAATGAAAGATCGAATGCACGAACGATGGACTGACCGATCAACCTATCATATTTCAGCCTGAAATTTTCAACTTTTTTTATTTTATGAATTATTACCCCCATTTAATTGTTGTAATTAATCAATCATTTATTAAATAGCTCGATTATAGCATTGATATGCCTGAAATATGAGGTGTTCATTATTTGTATTTACTACATATACAAGGTATTTTGTAATTGCTTTGTTAATTATTTTCTTACCGAGCTAGAAGTATTCAGTAATTCAGTATTCAATCTATACTGCATGTTTAAAACTCGTTTTGTATTTAGTTTCTGTTTAAAATGAATTTATTTCTGTACACAGCTGTAAAGACTGGAGTTCAATGAGCTGCTACAAGAGTGTGGGTATGTCACATTCCTTATCGATTACATTCTTCTGTCAATTGTCTCTGTAAACCACCAATCTCTCTCACAGATTGCGCTGGTATTACATCATTTCCACTGTAAAATGTAGGACTGAGGAATAATATTGTAATATTTTTCCTTTATAACCGAGCTTCGCAGTCGCTTCAGCGCGCTTTTTCGTCCTATTTCACGCCCGTGGCCCTCAGCCACGTTAAACTTATTATGAGATTTGTACCTTGTTGGTGTCGCAACCTCAGAGAGTATTTTGCGACTTTCTGAATTGAAAAGCGAGACGCGAATTGGCACGGTCTATTGAAACACTACTTGGTACAGGTGAACGCTAAAGTATTAATTGAAATTTGGTAATGAGCGTTATCCATGCAGTCATGTGATTTTTCTGTATAATGGTTATTTGTACATTCTGACTGAATTCCTTTGATTGTTAAAGTCATGTAATTCACTGAGCATTTGAAGCTCAACTACAATTTCCCATGGATACGTAACATATAATTATGTTTAATGGTTAAGGAAAGTTTTTTCGCAATTCGGAAACTTTGACAAATTTGTGAATTGTACGCATTTTGTACAGTAATTCTCTATTAATTATTATTTATTCTGTCAAACGACCAAATTGTCCTATTATCCAATTCTATTAAAATTAACTGTTGCTGAATAAATGTAAATTGTTAATTGAAAGTTTGATATCTCATTTTTCTCCACTGTAGAAATATACCCATTTACTAGGTAACCCTTGACCCGTCTCCTGCTTACTGATTTTTCAGTTATTTATTCTTCAGGAAGGTCCTAGTGTCATCTATTGAGAAGTTTAGTGTTACTTCGCGTATTGCCAGTAATGTCCACTACGGTCAATTACTCATTGCCATTTTACGGCGGCCGACCGTGTTTAAGTTAATGTTTATTTATTTGGCCATTTTTTATTTAACATTTAAAGTGGCGATCTTGAACTTTACTTAAAAGTCACTTTAAAATATAACAGACAGACCGACCGAACGCACGGACGGACGGACGGACGGACGAACGAACGTTCGGTCGGTTGTTTATTCATTTACACTGAGTCATCAATTTCGTAAGCTTATTTCGTTAAAATGTTTAGGAACCGAGATATTTGTAAAAATTTATTTTTCATTACCTTTGACCTCTAATATTTTAGGGCGTACACAGGATAGTACATCAAACTTTTCCACCCATTATATAAAACGATAGCAAAGGTCTCAGCGAAAATTCAGCTCTAAGCACCAGATAACATTTTTTGTCTAATTTTACTGGGCTAATTTGCCCTCCCTTTGTACTGTGGGTGGGCAGACATGTGATTTTTTTGGCTTGGCTTATTTGTGGGCCTTTGGTGTTCCTTCAAGTCGAGTCTTAAAACCTCGGCCGCCTTTTCAAGAGACGGTTCGAGGAGCGCGGTGCAGGGGTGTGTTCAATGATTAATTGATGTTCCCAGACCCTTCAACTGTTATGTCATTATTCACGGAAGTGAAGTGCATGTCTTCGGCACAGGATGAAGCGGTGATCCTCTCCAGCTGATGGCGAGATCCAGCGCCGACCTGCACGTCGGTTAGCGGGGGGGGGGTCCCACCAGGTAACCAGCGTATCACCTTCGAGGCACCGCCCCACCCGGAACAAGCTCTGAGCTACCAACATACGTGGTTTTCTATACGAAGTGCATGTAGGTGTAAATGTAAACAAGGATTGGGGGTAGGACAAGGAAAAAGGAAAGATTGCGCATGTTCCGTGGTCCGTTTGTTCAGCTTCTGTTCGGAGAAACCACAGAAAACTGCCGATCAAACTGAATTGTCACAAGATGTCAAAAAATCTGTCTACTGACCTGAACACTGTATGTTACGATAAGAGCGCGTGAGCGCTGAGAACATATTTCGATGTAGAAAGTATCAGTAACTTCATATTTCTCAGTTCAAACAAATACGATAGATATTTTGATGAATCAGATGAAAAATTTCTGTAATTAATGTATATGTCTATTATAATTTTTAAAATGTTACTTGCCCATGAAGTAATAAGTCACTACTGACCTCAACTCTTTTTAAAGCAACCTACATTAAATAATATTAAAAAAATTATGTCAGTTTAAGAAGGGGTCAAATAACAGATTGAAAATATTTATGGAAATAAAATATTTTATCACAAATGGCTATGGGGGTCACTTCAAAAATGTTTAGGGGGGGCTGTGCAGGCCTGTTCACTGTTGTAAATGACTGCTATTAAACATCAGAAATTTGTCAGATAAAATACTAGTTACCATTACAAATTTTGCAATAAAAATGCTTGTAGTTCTGAATCATTTCAATAATCAAGGATAAAATTTTGTAGGCATTAAAGTACAAGTATCTAGGAGCATTTTTGTTTTTGAAAAACAAAATCTGTGACATTTTCACAATTGATTTTTAATAATTTTTACTCATTTACGCTCCCTATGGCCTTGCAATGACCTTGAAAAAATTTTGAACTGCAATTTTTCTGTTGCATGACATCAGTAGTGTTAAAAAGAATATTAGATGGCACTTCATGTATACGGTCTTAGCGTCGAATTTTTTAATTTTAACAACATCGGGAAATTTATTAAAGTCATTAAAAAATGGATTTTTTAAAATAACGTTTTCCCCAAAAAGTTTTGTTTTATATCATGCTGAATCTGAATTTATAACTATTTATTTGATTTCCAAACCTTCAATATTTTGTTGACTGTTTTGATAAAGAATGTCCCTTCTACAAATCCTGTTAAAAAAAGCAAGCAATAACGTGTCTGGGGCCCACTTCCTTTCACTTAAAGCAAAAATCATTAACTTTGGTTCAATAGAAACCCCAAACCTTTTTCTAAATTAAAACTTTTGGTGTTTTAAATATATAGATTATAAAACAAATGAACAAAACATGTTTTATAAATAAACTTATTTATACTTAATTCATATTGTCGCCAGGCGACATTGCTGCAGAGCCACCCTTCTCGCGTCCAAGCGCCGGGGCCAGCGGCCGGTGAGGCCAGCGCGGTGTGTCATCCCTTAGCGAGGGTGCAGTGACACACAGGGCATACTCACGCATACGCCGAGCGCCTCCCCGGCGTGAACTCTGTACTGTAGGGATGACCAAACTCACGCTGGGGATGGCAGCAACCCCAAGTATATACCGTGCGTCTCTGTCACACTAAGATTGACTCAGGCCACCCCTAGCTCCCGGGCGGGTATATAATCTGCGCGTCCGGGGCTAAAAGGTCAGTAGTGTACGAGTACGAGGGTGGTGGTGTACAGCCGTGTTCGGGGAGCAGCCAGTGTCGGTATGACCAGCAGGACGGTGTGGACCGCACAGTGGTGAAGAACTACGTAGAATTCCTGACCACAGCCTACGGGCCGTTGGACGGGCGGACTGCTAGCGACGGACCCATTACGTTGGACCCACCGGCGGCGGCCTTCACAGTCATTGGGACTGCTGCCTTGCACCAGCGAGCTTCGCGGGCGGACGCGGGGCCACGTATGGCACGACCAGGAGCAGGGACCACGATATAAGTTATATCAATATGCATGTGTTATATCAGAGCTACGTGTTATACTTGATCCCCTTATGTCCCGTCGCGACAATATGATCTCAATAAAAACAAGCACATAGCAACAGTGCATGAATAATGAAGATGACTTCACAAACTCCACAGAGTACGTCATTTGTTTGTAATGTACAAGCCAACTGCTTCAAATTAACATGTCAAACAATCGTGGGGAAAATTAATGAGTTAAGAGCAATTAGCATGTAGGTGAAGATTACACGTATCGTGGTACTGAAACATTAACCATTTGGTCTACAACTGTTAACTACTGAATACAAAAATTTTTCTGTTCCCATGAAAGAATCCAAAAACGGCAGATATCCGAAAAAAGGGGAGGTTTCCAGTAAATAATTTATTCAGATCAACAAGATTTGTGGATTTCAGAAATGAATGGGTATTATCACAGAACATTGAGAAACTTTTCTAACAGATTGTGAATGTCACAACCACTGTATAAATATCAACTACATTTCCATGCCTTCCCCCAGAGAGAAAAGAACAAACTGAAAAACTATTTAATTATCCATTGATTAATTATGATTGATTGTGAAGATGTTTTGCTTCAATTTCTGAAACAAAATTATCACTTTGATAAGTGTCACAGCACAAGTTCACCCACTGGAGAAATAAAGTTTCCTAAATTCTAACTAAAGACAGAAAAATCATACTATTTAATAAATAATTGAATTTCCCAAAAATTACATCTCAAAGACCACCAATTTCTTTGTAATTTTTTTTGCACCTGATTTCTGAATACATTCTTATAAGTTCAGTAATTAACAAAACAGTAGTTTTAAAATGGAAATACTAACATGTTTTAAGCTTTGAGTTTCTACTTACAATGTAACACTTAAGAATACTGCTTACAAGAATTGAGCAATTATTGCTTCCATACAATTGTTAAACACATTATTCTCATTTCCCATACCCAAATTTTAATCAAAAGGTTCATTATTCTTGCATAAAAAATGAAGCATATGAATGTTCAATTACAACACACAGTGTTTTGACTTGTAAAATACTATTTATATTCAATCAAATAACTAATGAACACTTGCAATGTTTATTATAAAATATTTTTTATGAGCAGTAAGGATGAAGAAATTTGAAAAAACATAATATAGCAACCAAAACATCACTTAACTAAAGAGGATGAACTCTTCCCTTTATTATCTTACAATCTCATGATAAAAGCAGACCCTTACAGAATTTCATAAAATCAAGAAAAATAAAAAATAGTTTCATAATTCTCATACCTACACAAGTACATGATGATGTTTCAATAATCAGTATCTTGCTTTACATTCAGTCTTACTAATATCGTTCAGTGAGCAAATCATTGCATCAAGAAACAAAAACCATCATTATCTGCAATCAATTTGTGTTATGATAAAAGAGTCGTAAAAATAAAAATAAATCTACACTTAAACAATGCCTAGTGATTCAAATATTCTAGAGAAACTTTTTTCACAGGCTCAACAGAATACATAAAAGCTCAAGCAATCTTATATACAATAATAAAATTATTTTAAAAAATGTTCACAATAATTGCATCTTTCTCTTCAGACTCAGTCTAACATTTAAATAAATGAATCAAAGATTCTTTGCTACTGGTATAAAGATAGAGACAAAAGAAAATATACGGCACTAACCACCTTAAAACTGATGTAAATCCTCACTTTTCTTCACAATATATTAACTTTCATTTCTATACAAATCAAAATATCCTGTGTACCCCATTCAATATCCTCCCATTACTGGCACCTATTAAAATTTATCGTTCTTTGAACACAGTATGAAGCTCTCAACTGAGACTTTCAAAACTGTCATCTAGTTGAATTTTGCTTTCACACTACCCACATATCATGAAAACAATATATCGATGTAAGGCATCAACAGGTCAATCGGTACCAATGAGCTGAAAATTTTGAAAAACTAATTTTTGAATTGGAAATTTCAAACCCACAAAAGAATCTTACAAAAACAGTAAATATTACATAACTTTTATTAAATTATGAAAAAAAATGGAAATTAAAATTTGTTTAAATGCATTTCTACAAACTGTTAACTTAAAACAATAGCTAACTCACTTCATTATATACAATACTAATTTTTCTTTTTGAATTTGCTTTTTCACAAGAATTATAATAAATTAAAAGCACAATTTAAAAACAAGAAAGGAAAACTCACACACCATTACAAAAGAAGTTCTCAAATTTTCAGCTTTTGTTTAATGTAAGGCAACGTTTACGGGCTTACAAAGGGGGGAGGGAGGGGCGCAATCTTGCCTAATCTTTCCTTCTACCTTAAACAGGCCAGAAGAGAAACTAGAACATTCTTTGAGCTTTATTCAGTCTCTTTAGGATTGCCTTATTACGTTTAATGCCAGAATTCTAAAGAAAGCATATTGAACTAAGAATGCTCTGTGATACTACAAGTGTTTTCTTAGGTGACATCAAAACCTGTGGAGTCATGAAATTTCCTAAGGTAATTTTACTTTTCGTATTTGATTTGATATGTTATGTCTTATAAATTAACATGTCATGTCTAAATAACATTTTTTTTTTAATCACAAATTTAAGATTGACATTAGGAAGTAGAAATGAATAATGTGAATATATATACTATGATTTCTTTTGCAATATTCAGTAGATGAAGCACTTTTACTGGGAGTTTACATACAAAACTCCACTTATCATCTTTCCTGAACATTACACAAGTGTGCCCAAATAAAACTAAAAAATTATTAATTCCATTACAATTATTAAAAGGAGAACAGCAAACTTACTAAAAGTGAATCAATCAAAAATTTTGTTCAACTTTTCCCACAATTTGAAAATTACAATATTGTATAGTAAACCAGTTTCCTATCTCTTCATGTTTCTTAACAGTAGTCGCATGACTTATTTTACAAAAGATTTTAATGTACAAACTGAAGTTTCTGTAAGAGTAAAAGAAATCAATAAAAGCTGTTTTAAATAAACAATACGATTATCAAAACAAATTACTAACATTCTGGAATTAATTAATGCTTTGATCCAAAAACAATGCGAGAAAGATAACAGAAAATACCATGTATATGTATTCTGGGTGCCTTTATGATGAATTATAAATGAAATAATGAAATTACAAACATTATGTCCATGACAGGGTCAAAAAAACAAATATTTACTCTTACACCAAATTTTTGTTAAAAACTAGAAATTCTTGAAGTAATTTGATATTAAAAACGGATAAAACACAATTATCTTCCAAGGTATTAAAATTTGGGGGTAATAAATGTTATTTCAAAACGCACACATGTAACTTCTTATGCTTTTACTGCAAAATTCAGGTACAAATTAATTAATTGAAGTATCTACACAGGTCTTCTTGTTAGGGATATGCATGCATAAAAGCACCAATAACAACAATGAAAATGCATATAAGTAGATAATTTTGCTACAATAATCTTACTTAAGCAATACAAAACAAATTCATACTTTTGGTTCCAATTCTGCAATATAAAATGGGTACTTTAACCTCTACCCTACTACAAAATATACAGTACAAACATGCCAGAGAAAAACAGTTTTGCCATTCTCAGAACTATAGTTAAAATAAAATACATCTGCAATGGCAGTTGTTTCTCCTCTGGAGCTAAATAAAATATGCACCTTTGCAGAATATAAGTTCTCTGACAATGACACTCAACAATTGGAGACCATAAATCAACAAGTAATACAATTAGTCACAATCATATAAACAAGCGAAGATGATAGGTGCATTTTCATACCTTGCTAATAATGGAATCCACAGTTTCACAAAAGTATTTGTCATTTAAAAAAATAATGACAATTATGTATTTACATTAAAAATATACAATAAAAAGAAAAGGTGTACAGCACATAAAGAAGAGTACTTGAAGGTTTTTCAGATCATTTAACAAGCAACAAATTTTAATAAGTGTATAGATTCAGAATGGGAATGACAGCATGCCGAGACATACATAAACCACTACAAATCTGAGATATGGCTATGGAGTGTAACATTAAAGAAATTCTTATTTATCAGAAGTCCATCAAATACTGACAGTCATCTCAATATAACAAAAAATACCTGAAATGGCAGGAAATGTGTTTAATGCATTATTGATATCTTAATGCCATTGTGCTTTGTATCAGCATAAAAAATATTACAAAACACGTTCTCAGAGGTAATGTACACTATCCACAAATGAAAACTGTCTCCAGTGTGTGCTAGCACAAAAAAATGGAATAAGATCATTACAGCTCACAAAGGTTAGCTGTTCAACAAAAAACCTATAAACAATCCAAAACCACTTCGTTTTGTAACTTACTTTACTGCGCCAATGCCTTGTTAACAACTGCAGAACATGAAATGCCCCCCCAAGTTGTCAGTAGTCCAAAGCCCATTCATTGTCTTGAAGAAACGCATCGACAACCTCCTTCATGGCAAAATTTGGTATCAACTGATCTTGTGTAAGCTTCACCCGAGTAACAGGATCGAAGTGTCCGACTCGCTGGAAATAAAAAAACTTTTAACAAGTTATCAAAGTATCACATAAGACCTAACATGAATGTATATTCAACTTACTCAGATAATAAAAGGAATTCATATTTTTAGAGAACAAAGTGTATTGTGCATTGCAAATATCTGAACACTATAACAGGCGGTATCCAACACCACTTCGGAAATATCACTCCTCTAATATTATTTTAATCATGCAAATACAAGTGTACACACCTGCAAATGTTCTTCAATATCTTTACGTTCATAGGTTATCCCACTTGGAGTAATAACTGGCTCACGAAGAATTTCAAAGCTTATTTTTCCACACAGATAGTCAGGAACATCACGTTTCTGAAAATAGATCATGAAACGTTCCCCACATATTCATCAAATGGTATTTTCCTTTTAATTAAAAGTTACATTCTTACAAAATAATAACTGATGGTTAATTAATTTAATGACAGCAACAATAAAATTAATTTATATTATATCACAGAGAATGCTGACTGTAAGGGAATCTTGGCTTATACAACATGGGTGTGACTTCACAGTTTGACATTTTCCAATGTTATGAGGCTTTTAAAATTCTGAAAATCAATATAAAGACCCTGTAATTTTCTTATACCCTATTCTATTACCTTACCCTATTTCTATTATTATATACCCTATTTCTATTACCTTATACCCTTATCCTTTACAAAAGGATTCTAACTTTTCAAATATTCACATCCTTCTAATACATTAATAAGAGTTACCAGAATTAGTTCAATGAATTAGCAAAATGAAAGTAATTGTTGTTGTTTTTTGCTTCAATTCATATAAAATACTTCATATCTTAACAATAAATCATTGTTTAATAGTATTTCAGTATAAGAACATATTGCATGTAAGTATATGACTCTTGAGACCCGGGCCCTCCCCAGAAAACGGACATGCTGACAAGGGCATACATGCACTTGTCAGAGAGAGAGATCTCATTTCCCTCCAAGAAACCCAATCTCCTAAGTACCTTACATATGAAGGGATGATATGACCATCATGAAACAGTCAAAATCACCAAATCTGGGTCTCAGACAGGAGAAACTCCAATACTGAAATTAAGAGGTTTGTTTGATTGATTACTTCATTATTCGTTCTTCTCTCCCTCTGCCATAAAAGGTACCCACTACGGAAGAATAATTTTCCTCAGCCAAGATAAACCACCAGGTCTTTTAAATAAAAACAAGTCAAAACATTTTTAAAATGTTAATGTTTTAAAGATTTTTACATTCTTGTGTATGTGCCTGTATACGTAGAAAACCCATTTTGAAATTTCAACAGAAATACACATTTTGAGGTCCCCAAATACCAAAAAAGTGTTTGTTTTTCAAAACATCTGCCCATCAGTCGGTCCGTCCATCCATCCATGAACAACATTAGTGTGTAAACTGATCATAGGATTTTTTCCAAAATGAATCTTCTCCTGTTGATCTGAGTTACTAGAAGCTTTAAGATTTTGAAAATCATTCTTTAAATTCTGTAGTACATTAAATGAAGCCCCTGGTACATTTCCAAAATTTTCTCAAAGAGACTCCAAATTTCTTGATAGAATAGAGAAAATACACTTATAACGATGATGTCATCCTAAAACTATAAAATTAAAGACAGATTTTTCATACAAACAAAATTTGTTGTCCATAAATATTTATTTCATTAAGGTCACATATACTGTTTAGAAAACTGTAGTAGCTTTCATGCAATATTGCGTGAAATATAATTTTTTTTCCTTCGAAAATTTCACAAACTTCATAAATTTTTTGACATCTCTCTCATGTAGTTAATAATTGCATTAACAGGGATTTATATACACAAATGCATGTATGTATACACGTGCTTCAAATAATGTCACATAAAGTTTCTTGAAAACTTAAGTCTACTGTGAAAATGAGCTCAAATTTCCGTATTTTCAGAAACGCTCAAACGCCATTTTCTTAATAACAGCTCCAAATTTTCTCTTTAAATTAGTTTAACAGAAACTGCTAAACGCATTGTGTAAGATGACACAAAAGTCAGTTTTCTCTATCCTTTTGTTTTTTAAAAGATTACACAAATGTATTTCGTTGGAAATGCCTATCTGCACTGTTAATAAGAACATTTCCAGAAATTTTTATAAACTATTACATTTGTAAGTAGGTGTTCCAAATAATTTCCAATAGTGTTTAAAAAACTCAGAAGTTTTATGTGAAGAAGAGCTTCAAACTTTTGTTTTTTTCAAAATTTATACAATTGTAATTTTTTTTAATATCTCTCTCGCTGTTAATCTGCACATTTCCAGTGATTTGTAAATATAAAAAAATTTGTAAGCAAAAGTACTTCAATGATTACCAATAAAGTTTTTCAACAACTCAAATGTATTCTGTGCAAAGGAGCTTCAAATTTCGCTTTTATAGTAACACTATAATGCACAGACTCTCTGAACGTATTTCAATTTGACTGTTTGAATGATGAAAGTCAAAATTTTATATGAACTACATTTAGAAGATAATTTACTGAAATAACCCCTAAAAATACCCATTATTCTTAAAAAAAATTATTTTTCCCCTTCAACCCTGGTACTAGTTGTTTAGAGAACATGACGATCAAGACTGCCATTGAGTGGAATTTCAGTTCTATTCAGTTGCTACAGATATGCTAAAGCGTTACTTCACAGTTAAGGACCAAGTTCATACACCAGGTGCGCTGATCAATTATTTCTGTGGTTTCCTTAAATGCTCCCTGACAAATGTTGAGGCAGTATTCTAAATGCCGTCTGCTTCTGACCATAAGCTATCTTTCCAATCCTACCCCCACTCCCATAACTAGGACCATGCAGCTGATCCCTATCCTTGTATGGCCCATGGTATGTTCAATCCACATTGAACCAAGCCAAACAGAGATCTGAACGCCAGAAATAGCATTTGACTTCCACAATACTATATTATTTCTTGAGTAGAGAGTGGAGAAATAGAGAGGAAGGAAAGAGAAGGGGGAGAGAGAAAAAGACTGAGAGATATAATTTCCTGGTGGGTATTTTTTAAGAATTTATCTTAAAGCCAGCGTCTTTGATGAATAAATAGCATACGTGAAAGTATTTAAATTCTCAACATTGCAAAAAATCTCTCATATAAATTAGTTTTCTATTCTTGTGAGCCACACTGGCCTTTCTGTTTCCTCCTACCTCTATCTACTAACACCTAAAAGATCTACAACAGCCTCTCATTATAAAGATTTTAATGAATCCTGCTTTTCTGACATCACCTACAATACTCTAATTGATGCATTTTGGTGGGAACTAGTTTCACTCTTCTGATGACATTTCCAGAGTAAAGTACCTTAATGCTCCCTGAACATCGCATAGGTCAATTGCAAAGGAATTTTGTTTGATCAAAAAGCACATTCACATTTTTTCCCCACAATTACCCTAACGATAAAATTCAAAAATGATTTTTTTTTAAACCTTAATAGAGTAAAATCTGTTTGTACATGCGAATTTTCATTGACAAATTTGCTTTTGAGAAAACATTTCAGCATTTCTGAAAATATACAATTTGAATTTATTCTTTCAGAAAAATTTTGAGTTTTCATGAAGCTTGATAAGAGGTTATCTGAAGCTCTTGATCTCACAAAGGGAATAGATTCTGAAATAAGCAACTTTAATAAAAATGTGACATTTATCAAATATTTACATGTGTGTAATTTTTGAAAAATCAATAGGTTACTTAAAACAGAGCGTTTATGTTATGCTATTCTCAGTATTTTGCTTTATTCAATCAAAAATTTTCCCTTAAAATTATGAGCAGTCTTTGTCTAAAAACGAAGTCCTGCTTTTAAAAAGTTTACATTTCACTCAAAATTATGAGAAAACTACTAATACTTTGAAAGAAAATTACTTTTTTAACATTTAATTTTGCACATGACCTTTTTAACATTGAATTTTGAAGAGAACAGATTAGATTTGATATAAAGAATCTCACAATTTTTAATAGTGTAGTTGATAACGGAATCAACAAAAAAAAAAATCCGTAAGTGCCATCCATTCTATTCTAGCACAACACTTCCTTTAAAAGTTTGAAGCAATTTTTTGAGAAAATTTTGAAAATATCTCAGAGGCTTCGTTCTCCCTGAAAAACTTAATGGAATCTTTTAAATTCTCAGTACCACAAATCAGGACAGATCAATTTGGCAATATTCCGGTTGGAAAAAATGCTTTGAACGGTTTAAATGCTATTTGCATCACAAACAAGCAGATGGATGTTTTAAAAAAGACCGCTATTTTGATGTCAAGGGACTCCAAAACATGCATGTTTTTGCAAAGTTGCTTGTTTTTTGAGGGGGGAGGACTTCAGTTCTTAAATTCATATCCTTCATTCATTATTTTGAATTTGCTCAAGAACGAAACACTATTTTAAAATGTTAATTACTCTTTGAAATGCTACTCGCTCAGGCTTGGCAGAAAGATTCTTTTGCAAATGTAACGTAATCAAGTTGTGATAACTCTAAAAAAATCGAGTCAGATTACAGAAAAGTGTGGCTTGGAGGGAACTCTGACCTTCCACTTCCACTATCTTCTAAACACACAATACAAAGTATAGCAAATCAATATTTTTAGAAATGTAAAACAGTCTTTGTGCCTACTGTAAAACTGAATCATTGAACTGAACTGTATCATTGAAGAACAATAAATGTTGCTTGTGACATACTTCAATAATAGTTCATTAGTACACATTACAATGAAATATAAATATACATACCCTTCTCCGATCGTCCACCTTCGCAAAAATTGAATTCAATTCACTAGTATTGTTATCCTATAAACACAAAGACACTTATAAGACAAATGTTTAGAAATATAAATTCAAATTTACTAATTAAAAGTTACCTACACACTGTTGTTCTAATTCCATTATTTTTTCTTGAGTAAGTTCATCCCCACCGCTTTCTTCACGGAGCTTGACTATTTGTCTTTCTGTATCTTCACGTATTAATCTATTCAGATAAGACTAAAAAGCAAGGAATGTAAATAATCCTAAAGTTTACCACATCATTATTGAAACTTCACCAAAGAACAGTCAAAAATAAGAATTAAAATACCTGCAACTCTATTTCCTGAGCAATTCTTTTTTCTTCTTGAACATTCCACCTTTTTTTTCGAGCTGCCCGAAGTTGACTGGCAATATCATCTCCAAAGTTCAACTTTTGTTCTTTTGCCAAATCATTAGCTAGAAAACAAACACAGCATTACCTGCAGTTTTTTCAGCACATCTCCCATTAGGTAAAAAAGTAATTATCTCATAAATACCTCGTTGTAAATGCTTAATGGCTTCATCGTAATTATCCATTTCAAGAAGAGCCTGACCAAGGAAAAAATGACCTTTCACTAAATTTGCATCCATGTCTAAAGCTCGACGACAATCCTGGCACGATGCTTCCCATCGCTTCATTTTTAGATGACATAGTGCTCTGTTTGTGAAATATGTTGGCATACTTGGATTTTTTATCTGGAATAAAAATCACACTTTGGAGGTAGGCACTAAAATAACAGATTTCCAGAACCTAATTCACAGATTTGCAAACACTTTTGAAAACAAGACTACCACTTCTTAAATTTTTTCACAAAATACACTTCACAATACATACTATGGCTTTCGTGTAACAAGATACTGCATCTTCATACTTTCTTAAACTAAACAGTCTATTGCCTTGATCTTTCAATTCTTTGTCGGTGAGGTTCGCTGTCGAATACATGTACTTGCTCATATTAAAATGATTATGGAAATCGAAGAAAAGTTTCAATAGGAAAGAAAACTTAATAGCATCAATCCAATCAAAACACTTTCGCTTTCCAAACACAATAGATACAACCAATACTTCTCTCCTACGCCATGATCGTTCTGCCAGCTGTTCTCGAACTGCAGATGAAATGAAGTTTGTATCACAGATGTTTTATAATAGTGAATATAGGCATTCTGTGCAACGCTGTACCAAACAATGCAATGGCCTGTATGTTGCGCATTACCGCGCTATTAAAAATGATTCGCTGACAGCACTGATTAGTTTTAGGATTGTTTGATTATCGTTCGAATAGTTACGCCGATTCATCTTTGAAAAAATAGTAAGTCTGGACATTTTGCATGGACAAAATTAGAACAACAATCCAGTGTCATATTTGTAAAACATAATAAAAAAAAAAATATGCATCAATGGGGGAGAAGTACGCGCATTTTCTTGAGCTCCAGTTTTTTGTTGTTGTTGTTGTTGTTTTTGTTGTTTTTTTGGGGGGGGGCTAAGCCAAGGTTTGTGTACAGTGTGTTGCACGCAATTTTGCGTTTTACTACTATGTGTGAGTGGCTGGTGTGGGTTCGTGTCGGACCTTAGTCAAAATAGTATGACAGGACAGATATATGACAGGACTTGAGCTCCAGTGTCTCTTTCCCACTCTTTCATTACCCAGAGTTCAAAGATGAATAAAAGAACCAAAAAAGCAAGTGGAGCAACATTTGAAAACTAGCAATTTTCGCTTCCTTGTCGTAGAAAAATATTTGCATTGACCTGAACTCGTAGTATTGCTAACGACATTGTAATTCACACCCGCAGCTCTATTCCTACCACAACTATTATCAGAAGAACATCTCAACTAAACGTGCTCATAGAAAACATTTATGTCCAGATGCAACAAGAGTCAGTCTCAGCGTTTGCTCAACGGATCACTGAAACTGGACGAAAAAACTGATCGACCTGAAGATCATTGATCCAGAAGTTGAAATACATTTCTTGTTACAGACATATATATAATATTTTTAAATTATAATTATAAACTAATTCATTAAATATTATTGTCGAAATAAATATTATTTTCCTTTTTGATGGTAAGAATAGTCTAATTGTGTAAAATCCGTTTTGCGGCAGAAAATATTTTACTTTAAACTTAAATTGTTGTATCGATTTTAATTGTTTAATATCATCTGGCAATGTGTCGTAAAGTAACTTACATGTATTATACCAGGTGGACTTCTTGTTACGAGCTGTTGATATTGACACCTTATTAATGACAGCTACAACGTGTGTTATATCTGTATTACATCTGTATATGTGTATCTGTTATACACATATCTGTATTAAAGAGTGTTCCCACCGTTAAGTAAGTTCGTTTTGACAAAAGCTATAGTTTCGTAAATAAATAAGCAAGGCAATGGGAAGATTCCAAGCTCATTGAATAGATCACGTGGATGGCATTTTTATTCGCACATTTTTCTGCGATAGAATCTGCTTCCCCGAGCAGGAATGTGCATTCTCAAAATTCACGCAATGTGCTGCATGAATGCTGACTGCATTCAAACAAGTTTTGCCTTGTTTCCTATTGATTTGTTATTACGAAACCAATTGGAAACATGTGAAATCGTGCTAATTATTGTTTCATTTTTGCCTAGAACATTCGTGCCATCAGCTAACAGAACTATTCCTCCGTTTCGAATAGGTGAGAGGATATCGTTTACGTATAAAAGAGAATATGGCCTAAGATCGACCCTGCTGGCAAAGGGTTCAATTGGCAAAGAATTAGAAAGGCGGGGTAAATAGTGTTCTTTCGTGCCAATACTGAATTTCCATTCTTTGCGATTTATGTTTGAGTACTAGGGTAACATCACCATTTGAAAGCAAAAAGTTGTAGGCAATGGCGTCAAAAAGTTTAAGAAAGATCTAAAAAGTATCCCATTAGTTGTTCCATTTTATCCACTGATGAAGCAACATTAAGAAAAAATGCCTGATTCCATAATTTTAATATTCTAAATTCCCTTTCGTATTCCGTTCGTTTCGTTTCGTTTTCCTTTCGTATGCAAAAAAGTCTCTCTTATCATTTCTTTTATAAAACTGACAAAAGAGAAATTGGAGAATTGAATAATTTTTAATTTTATTTTTGTCGCTTTTTTAAAAAAGTGTGTTAATTTTTGCTGATTTAAAAATATCAGGAAATATTCATGTGCGTAAGAAGCATGAAAATGTGGATTAACATGTGTATAAAGGCGCACATTTTTTTAATAAACAATCCGGGAATTCACATAAACCAGCCGAATACTTATTTTTTATTTTACTGTCTATTCACCACTGGCATTTTACTGGAAGGAATGTCGGAATCAATCGACGTGTCGAAAAGATTTGGGGGAATTTAATATAATGGGGAATAATTATAATGTTGAATTTTGTTATTTTAGTTCTGTCGCGAGATTGGACTCAATTCTCAAAAAGTGTTGGTTGAAGAGATGCAACGTTCACCAGATCGCTCACCTCTCTGCCAAATCTGCTCTCCTTTAAAACAACATTCGCAACAAAATGTCAATATTATGCGGTCGTACGTAAAGGAATATTGCACATTTATGTTTAAATTCCGAAAACTAAAAACTAAAGGAATATTCCACATTTAGTTATGTTACTAGCGTTCACTGTTTCCTGATCATTTTTCATTATGTTTTCACCTGCTATTAATTTCTTAAAAAAGCTTTTGTATTTTCGGAAGTCGTCGAACCTAAAATTTACAAACAACAATAACTTTGGCTATTCTGTGACATTGTGAAATATTCATTTCAATTTAACTAGGGATAAGGGACCTGAAAATTGAGAAAATGTAAAATAAGTTACGTGTTTTTTATTTCATTCAATATCTTCATTTTATTTTAAAGTAAAGGAAACTAAACCTCTATGATGTTAGAGAAGATCTGTAAATATTGTATTCTTCAACATGTTTTGTAATGTTACGTTGAAAAAATCAGTAATGATTGAGAAGATTTTTTTTAAAGCTAAGGAAATATTCCAGCATCAGTGCTAGATGTCAATCAATGCTGTTGAATGACATTGAAATAGATTCAGTGAGGCTAAGCATATTATTTTGAAGTACGGTATGCATCAGAAAGATCAATGTTTTCTGTAAATCGGTTTTATAAGAGATTTTATATGACATGGGGTCAAGCAGTTTAATAAAGAGATTTGCACATGATAGAAAATAGCACGAGAAAGACTGTGCCGTGCTGAAACCGCACTATTTTGAACAAAATTTTATATTTTTTAAGATATAAAATATGTTCATCTTGAAACTTAAAGTCTCAAATATTTCCGTTTATTTCGTAGTATTTTTTATTTATGTTAAATAGTTTCATACGACAAGAGGAAACCATTGTTTGGTCATGTTCGGGGCCCATCGTGTTATTGATTAGACTTTGTTATCTTTCATATCCTTAGACAGGAGTCTCAATTGTCCACCCCTTAATCTGCCCCACCGTTAAATGTCGAAGCACTAACGGTGTTTGTAGGTGGCGGAAACCTGTTTGTGATCATGTAAGCCTTTGATCCTGTATTCTTTCACGGAAGGTGCCCTGAGGTTCTGGTAACCTTTCCCGCGCAGTCTCATAGGGCTTCCAATAGTAGTGAACAGCACTTACGGTTAGTATCTCTTCCTAATGAGAATTACTCACGAATTTTTAATAACGATACGGTTGCTTATACAGTACTTCCTTGTTCTAAATACTTTCAATTTTATTTTCTCGTTTATCTACAGAGAAAATTATGAAATACAAAAGAATCTATATTCACATTTCAACGAAAGTTCAAGTTTTGAGGATATTTTATACCGAAGAAATGTTTCTTTAAACGTCTGTTTGTCCGTCTGTCAATTTGGAAACAATAGTCCCAGTAGGATTTTCACCAAAATAAAATTCATCTATATTTGTGTCCCGACTTCAAGTCATGCGAATTTGAAATTAATCTTTTTTATTTTTTTTTTTTTTGTGTGTGTGTGTGTGTGGGGGGGGTACTAAGCGTGAAATCATTTCGACATTTTAGAACTTTTTAACAAAAATAGCTTCAATTTTTTTCTTCAAATTGTTTTTTACAATATAGCAAAGTACTTCTATAAAAACGACACAGGTCCTATTATTATTAAAAGCTTTGAATTTTCGACTACAAAAGTTACTTTCTTTAGACGTCATCTTCATGTACTAGTGTATTAAAGGCACATTTTTTCTAAAGGTTTTTCAAAAGTATGTCTTTAAGAAATGCCGTGTACACTTACTTGAAAGCATGTAGTTATCGAATACGTTTTAGCGAAATCGGGACAATTAGACAAGTTTCTTTCAGACTGCTCCAAATTTTGGCTTTATATGTTTTGCACGGTTAAAGCAAAATGCAAAAGTAATGGTGTTACAGAATGACACAGACTTTTTCTTATTAATTTGTATCGTTTTCTTTTAAATCGAAGCAGCGTTTTTCGATTTTGCCGTCCCGGTTTTCTGACTGCCGTCCTTCGGCGCCTACGATCTACCATGGATTACTGCAGGAATTACTGCTCCCCTGAGAACAATTCCAAGTTGAAATCTCCCTCGTGCTCCTCAAACGTGACTCTGAGGCACCCTATAGGCCTCTTTGGCTCATTGTTGACCAAGAAAGTCGTCCAAGTCACAAACAAGTCATCCAAGAGCACCCCTTAGATCCAGAGGCGAAATTTGTCGTATACAGGCACGCGAAAAATTGTCTCCTATTTTTTTTTCTTATAACTCAGGAAAAAAGTTATATATAGCAATTATAATGTATGTAAAAAATTTGGCACCGCTATTTATGACTATAAAATTAAATATGATTTAATTAATAATTTATCAATGTTCAATTTTTTCTTCGGGAAATCAATTACTTTATAAATCACATCAATTCATCATTTTTTGTAGTTATGCATATTTATTATTCTGTTTTTAGAAATTTTAGAAATTCAATAAAGAATAGTTGTAAGAATTCTGATAAAGGAAACTGTAAACGATGTAACATTACTCTTTTTCGGTAATTGTAATGAAATCTTAATTGAATGATTTTTGAAAATGTTAACATTACTCTTTTTAACTTATCACAAGTCATACAGCAGAAGGTATTATCAGGCTGTTAATAAA